AAACATGCCAGAGGTGGGCTCTGCAGAGCGTGGCTGGCCCTGGTCACATTTCATGAAGAGAGAACTCCAGCCTGGCACTGGGCAGTGGTTTGGACCCAGTGAGGACCACACACTCAGCCCTCACAGTGTGCTGACTGCCACAGCATCTCCCTGAGAACAGGGATGCTGGGCACACCTGGCATCCTCCCCACGGCAATTTGTGACAGTGCTGGGATGGATGGTGCAGAGCGTGGCTGGCCCTGGTCACATTTCATGAAGAGAGAACTCCAGCCTGGCACTGGGCAGTGGTTTGGACCCAGTGAGGACCACACACTCAGCCCTCACAGTGTGCTGACTGCCACAGCATCTCCCTGAGAACAGGGATGCTGGGCACACCTGGCATCCTCCCCACGGCAATTTGTGACAGTGCTGGGATGGATGGGGCCTGGCAGCCATGCCCCAGCCCTGCCAGCCTGTCCTGCCCTAGAACCTCACCTGGAGGAACATGAATCACTGCTCCCCACACATGGTCTGGCAGTTTCTGGCAGAGGAGGGGGGAATATTTGGAGAGCTGTGTGTGAATGAAGCAGACTCACTGCTATCAGCTGCCAGAGCTGGGCCTGCTCAGGAGACTGCCCGTGGTTTGAAGGCACATACAGCCTGGCTGCTTTGCAGCCCAGCCTGCAATCTGGTGACATGATGTCCTAGCTGTATTTAATGGAAGGGAACAAAAAGCAGAGGAACGTGAGGAGCAGAGAAGACCACTGTGAATGAGATGAGGCCGCATGTCCCAGCTCTATTCCTGCATTTCCACCCTCACCTGTAGGATGGTATTTGCTTCCAGGGTGTATTTCAATCAGTTCTGCCCTAATCCAGTTTGAAGCTTCCCACAGAGTTTGTTTACCCCACCCTGCTGCCCCTCATGCTCTCTGCCACAGCTCCTCCACTGCAGCCCAGAGCCTCCTGCTATGCCACCTACCCAAAACCATCCACAGCTCTGCCCTTGCACCACTGCTGCTGCAGTCCTGCCTGGTCACACTTTCTGTTCCTGACCTGCCACCACACCTCTCTTTACAGCATGACCTCTGATTGAGCCATGCAGAGCAGGCAGTGACACCTATCCAAGCTCACCATTTCCTTAGGGATATAGCAGGATTAACTTTCAGTTCCTCAGATGTAAAATAAACCTGCAAACACAACTCTCCTACAGGCAGTGGGCCCAAAAGGACACAGCCCCTGACCCAAGTGTATCTCAGACAGCACTGCCTGGGCTCCTCTGGGCCTGGGCATAGGACATGCAGCAGGTGAATCACCTGGGAATTGCCTCCACGGGGAGGGACAGGCATTCGGAGGGAGATGACTGTCAGGGAGGTGTCTGACACAGGGCACAGTCACAGGCATGATGTGTGACTGTATGGCTAAGTCCATACAGCTCCTGGCTGCTCCGACAGGGATAGCCCTGCTCCCATGGCAGTCTGTACCTGCCACCTTTGCCTCCACGAGGGATCAGCCTCCTCTGATCCCACAGTGAGTCAGTTCAGGAGCTAAAAAGGCAGAAAACTTTTGTTATCAAAGAAAGGAATCATGGTTTGGCAGGTTAAATTGGCTCATCACTCTGCTGTCAGAGCTGGCTGTTCAATTTGAATGCCTGTTTCCACACCAGACATTAACACTTCCCCACCTAATCAGGATGCCACGAGGTCACACACATTGAGAGATGCCAACATGCTCAATCCAGACGGGGAAGGAGCCACAGAAGGATGCTGGAAACCAGAAGGATGAATGATTTAGATAACTGCTGCTAAACTCCATTATTCATGCTGCATCGCTGGAGCCCACAGTGTCAGTCAGTGTGAGAAAGGCCATTCTAGTTATATTTCTCGGCTGAAAAGAGGAATATATCCAAAATCCAGCATGAAAGGCTGTTCTAGGAAATCCAGCTCTCAATGCTGACTCAATCGGTCAGTATGAAAGCTGAGCACATAATTCATAAAGAATAATTCCTACTGGTTTCCTCTTTTTTTTCTTTCCCTTGCAGAAATGATCACTCTCATTTAGATAACCCAAAGCGAATCCAGAGGCAGGGGTTGTACTTTTAATGAAGCCAGAGCAGCAGTTTGCAGGAGGATCTCCAAATGGATCTTTTGTGTCACCAGGGTTTTACTGTGCTAATGACTTTTCCTCTCTCACCTCTGTGTGTTTTTCAAAGAGCTCCAGCCCTTCTGTAACCCAGGGAACTCCAGCCAAGGACAGGGAGAAGCCCTGTCATATTGAGAAAGTGCTTTTCTTCCTTTAATAGATTAAAAGCAGAGAGTGAGGAGCCTGAGGGAATGGATGGCTTAGGGGACAAGGGAATGCATATGGAGCTTCCTATAAGATGGTTGGGATCTATCCTAGTCAGGCTAGGGTAGAGAGCCTTTATTCTTTGGGGCACACAGGTAGGAGGTAGATTCAGCTCACCTACTCTGGGCCTTCAGATCTGGACTGTTCTCAATAGAGTCACTGGATGGAAACACATCCTGAGGGTGACACACCTGGTTTGTGGCATGTGTTCACTGGAGAAGGAGAAACACTGTGCCTCAAGAATTCCCATTGTTCCTGTAAGCAACCCTAGATTATGAACTCCAACTGTAGATGTCTGAACTTCAGGTGAGACAACTCCAATTCCAAATTGTCTCAGGAGTTACCAGCTCATGCCCACTCCTTGAAATACATTTGCATTCACATGCAGGAGAAAAACAGGAAACACTCACTGTGCAGCACTCAGGAATAACTGTGAAAGGGTGTGAACAAACACCTTTCACTGAGAAGCAGCTCCTACTGCAAATAGGTGCTTGTGCTGCAGGGCATACTGACTCCAGTAATGTGCTGAAGAGTGTTGCAGTGCCCTACAGCAATTCTATAGCTCACCAAGGAGAGGTGGGAAAGGAACATTCTAGAATAGCTGGTCCACGAGCAGAGGAACATGAGTGGTAACTGGAACTTCTCTGGCTTTCATCATTAACACTCAGGGCTTTTTGTCCTGTTGTAACACAACCCAGACTGGGCCCCAGAGCATCACACCTCCTTCCACCCCAGAACTGCTTGTGCTTTCTGTCTTTCTGTTGTCTCTGATTGGGGAAAAGGAAGTGAGGAGGAGGAGGAGAAGGGCAAAGCATGGATGCACACTTGAAAGCACCTCTTTGCAAGGGTATTCTTTGATAGAGCTAATATCCCTGTTTCCTGACAGTCCAAAACAAGCTGTGGCTTCAGAATCCCTGCTACAAAGTCAGCTCTGTCCTTCTAGCCGAAGGACACCTTGCAAGGCTTTCTCAAAGGAGAGCTTGGGGAAGTGGGAGGACCAAAACTTTCCTCAACAAAGTCATCTCTAGTTACATAAGAGCTCCATCTTGAAAATCCCACTTACACGGAACAAGCTACCGGGATCCTATCGGAATGAATCTGAAACCTTGTCAGCCCCAAGTATCTCTGTGCAGTCCTCCTCCATCAGCTCTGTACTGCAGCAGCACTCCTCCAGCCTCACCACTTGAGCTGGAAGGGATCAAGGACACCTTGGAGAAGTGGGCCCTGGCTCTGGCAGTGAAACCAGGGCTGGCACCGAAATCAAAGCTGTGTCTTTAATTAGGCCTGTTGGTTTCTGTTGGCACATGGCTCGGTGTGGCTATCCAAACACAGGTCACCAGAATTCCTCTGAACCTTGACAGCCATGTCACTGTCTGTCTGGGGCCGTGGAGGCTGGACTGCTCTGAGAGATGGAGCCTGTGGAGAGGACACTGGAGGAGTGCTGTGCAGGGAGGCAGCTCAGTGCCAGGCCCAGGCCCCCTCAGCACGGCCCCTGTGGCTGCACTGAGCTCCCCAGCACATCAGGCTCTGCAGCTGGGATGCCACTGCACCATCCCTGATGGCTTTTCATGTACTGCAGGTGCCATGCTTGGAACAAATGGGCTTTCCTGGGGGTTTGGGGACCACAACACAGAGGCATGTTAACAGTTCCAACAGGAGCTGCCAGGGAGAGTGAACAGCACTGCTCAGCTGAGTGCTGGCTCCACACACAAGTCCTGACATCCATGGGGTTTCTGAACAGATTCTGCACCACAGGAAAGCAGTGAAACTGCTTGTTGCCCTTCACTACCTCTACTAGCAACATAGCAGGATTTCTGTAGCACCACATCCAGACTAAGAGAGCCTGTTGGTCCTGAGCCAGTGCTGGTGTCTGTACCC